CTCTTCCTGTGTGTCCCAGATTGCAAGATTACAGAAGTTTCTTGCTGCAAGCAGAGCTTCAAAATATAATGGAAACTTCAGGGCAACTTGAAGAAAGAGCACGCAGCAGTGAGAGGAAGACTTGGGCAGAAGATTCCTCTGAGCTTCAGGTAGCTCACTTGACCTTAAATCAACTTGGCTCTTAACCTCCTGCAACTTAGAATAATAGAATTGTAGGGTTGGAAGGGATCCCAAGCATCATCTAGTTCAGCCCCTTGCAAGACTTGTTTATGCCTGCTGTGTCAATATCATTTTTCTACAGTGGAAGGGAGTATGAGTTGTCCCATTGCACCTCTTACTTGCTCTAGTAGGATGGGCCATGTAAATCAGGCTTGTCCACCATCCACCAGTGGGAGAAGACCCCCTTCTAGAAGAGTCTGTCTTGCTCTGATGTGCAGAACCTTTTTATGGAAATGTGTTGCTTTCTGGTGGCTGCCTTTTCATACCCCACTTTCCCTATATTATGCAGATAGGGTGGGAAGGCCATTCTGAGCAAAACAGTAATGGATTTGCCAAAAGGTAAAACGTTGGGCAAAATGACCCCTGGTTCTAGATGAGCTGTTATTCTAAGACTGGAAGGCTCTGGACCCCAGACTACCTATTAAGGGAGATAGATGGGTGATGCTGGCCCATATCTCTGTTGTGTACCTGTGAAAGCTGTGGAGAACCTCCTGTCTGCAAGCCTAATAAAGCCTAGCAGTGGTTCTGGTTTGCTGTTTTCCCCAAGCCATGCCTACCCACACTACACTCATCAGGTGGAGGGCAGGCATAGGCTCCTTGTGGAAGTGGGTTTTGCAGGAGCCTCCCATCAGCTGACCAGAATACCCATGGAACCTCTTTTTGCCTGCATGGTTTGATTTCAGATCATTCAGGCAAAGGAAAACGCTTCACCTGACATAATGGGTGAAATAGGTTGTTGACTCATGGGCAGATGTGACCACTGAATAGAAACAGCCCATGGTGTTGGGAGAGGCCAACATCCAGCCTGCTGGTCAGATCCAGTTTCCCACCCTGCCGTATAATATGATACTATACCCTTCTTGTTTCTCCACTCTCAGTCTGCTTCATAGACTGTCACTCACTGAGGACAGGATAAGGCTATTGCAATGACACATCATTGTGCTTTAACAAACAACACCAACATGTTATCAAAGAGACATGATGTGGGGAGGGAAGCATAGGTCAGTCCCATCAATGGATCTACCAGTGATGTGCAATTTGGGCATCTGTGTGGCATGCCCAAGTGCATTAGAGGGCAGGGCTCTTGTGTCCTGTTCAGAAGGGCTACTCTTGCCTTTTTAGCAGTAAGAAATGACCTTTTGCAAATGATGAAATTCTCTCTTCTACACAACTGTTCCAAGAGCAGCTGTGTCCTCGCTTGCATTTGGCCTCCTTCTTCTTAATGGTTTCCATTTTCTAGGTGAAGATTGAAGAGCTGGAAGAGATGCTGGATGGCTTGAATGAGGACTTCTTCCAGCTGACAGTGCAGGCCTTAACAATCCAAGAAGAGGAAGAACATCTGGACCGCGAACTCAGAGCACAAGAAGAGTCACCCTCATTTGCAGTATGTGCATACCACAATTTCATTGCAGGGGGCAGTGATGCAAATGACTATTATTTTAAATGCAGATGAATATGCCTTGACAGTGCTCCTTGTATGCAAAGTGCTCAACAACCCAACATCTACACAACAGCCCCGTAAGGCTGGGCATTGGGTTTAAGACTAGGAATGAACTAGGGAATAGTAATTTCTCATCCCTCTCTCTCAAACTCACTTCACATGCATCATGTGGCAAGTGTGCTTGCTGCATGGACCACTATGTCTACAGTGCTAAAAATGGCAATGCAAAAGAACATTTATTGAAACACTCTGGGGCATGTGGTGGACAAAAACCAGGAAATTGTAAGTTAGTGCCCAAGAGAGTGAGGCTGGGCAGACAGATCTCACTCATTCTATGATGAAGTTCCTCACCCAACATCTACTAGATAATCTGTTTACATCAACCTTCCCCACCAGATGTTCCACTGCAGATGTTTTGGACTACCACTGCCATCAGCCTCCAGCCAGCATGTCCAAAACATCTGGAGGGCATCCAGTTGGTTGAAGGTTGGCTTGCCTTCATTGAACACTCTTCAGCCACAAACTTGAAGCAAGTGCTTTGCAAGGCATCAGAACTGGAGGAAGGAGGCCACACAGTCTGGTTTGCTCTTCTTGCGTAGCACCAGAGTAATGAGAACCCTGATCTCCTGGTTTACAGCATCTTGCCTCAACCACTATTCCAGTAATTGCTTCAGGACAACTCAGTGGCTTTCTTCTGCCTGTTTCCCACTTCCTCTCTTTCCTCCCCACCCACTGTACAGTCTACAAGTTGTCTTCCTGAGGAGAAAGCACAGCACTTCTCGGAACATCTTGAATCTTGGGCTGCCAAGAGAGACCAAAGTGTGTTGCTGGGAATCAAGAGAAGTCTCATTGCACAGAAAATCAAAGACATTGAATCGGAACTGGCTCATTGTCTGAAAATCCATAATGGTGGCCAGCTCAGCAGCTGAGGGGAGACTGGGCAAAACTCTGAACCAGCAGGGAGCATTTGGTTGACTGTGTTTATTTCTTGCTGGAGTGATCAACCCTTAACTTAAATACCTAACTCTCTTGGGACCTAAAGTATTGCAGTAGGAGTGAATCCAAGTAGCAAATTGGAGGCAACTGTTTGGGGTACCAAGTAGTTTTAGGGCATGTGGATTACAATCTTGGGGTCTTCTTATCATTTCTCTTTTTAAAATATTTGGGATCAGAGAGAAGGGGCTTTCAATGGTAGTGAGGGGATTTCTCAACTTTTGTTGTAGCTTTCAAAAGTTCACCAGTTTGCCTGCTACTGCTCCTTCCTTTCCAGTTAGTATCTAGGAAGGAAATTTTAAGTGCTCAATGGATGTGCATTACTGATGTGTTGTGAGCAATATCATGTGAGTGTGGTGCAGTTACAGAGTTATAATCTAACGTGCACATGATTTTCTTTGTCCTTGCCAGTTTCAAATGAATATAGGCAATAACTTTTTCAAAGGAGAAGGGAAGCCAAAAACAAAGTTTGGTCATGGCAGGTGTCAAAAATGAACAGAAGGAAAGGTGGTTAGTTCTGGCTCAATATGACTTTGCATGAAAGAGAAGGTATGTATGGAATGTGTCCACACAGAGAGGAAGTTTGAGAAATGGCAGTTTTGTTTACAGTATCACAAAATGACAGTTCTGAATTAATCTGTTACACACCCAAAGAGTTAGGTGGACATCTGAAAGGTTGCAGAATCCATAACTGCTAATCTGATGGATGCAGTTGAAAAGTACATGCATTATGTTGTAAAGTTGAGCAAAAATGTTAATTTCCATGGGAGATAAAAATGCAAATATAATAATGCCACATTTGAGAAATGTTTGTTAGGTAGCTTACCTGAAAATCATCATGTAAATATTCAAAATGTGAGAGGAATCAGGATTGTGGTTGTGCCTCATACTTCATGTTCCCAGTGGGAAAATAAATTCTGTTTGATCCTGTAACAAATATCACAAATAGTCGCTATGAGCATCTCTAACAGCCGAACCACCTGACAAAGGAGACACTACTTGGAGAGCATTCAGATGTGGGGATTCTTGTGTTACTTTGCCTGATTATAATGCTAGCACCTCAGATTCTATCCCAGATTCTAATGTTCATTCCTTTTACACTGCATTACCCATTGTGTTGTGGAACTGTGGCTTTTTTATTGCTATGCTGCCTTGTCACACTAAATTTTCAATGATGGGAAAAGAGCTGTGTGCTGGAATACCTCCCAGAGGTCAAGTGAAATTGCAGCACAAAAAAACTCCCATGATTTTCTAGGTTAACGGGGTTGGAGACAGTTCCCCCCCCTCTAGAAGCAAATGCTATGGAAATGAGTACTAAACATCTGCTAGATTTTTCCAGAAGTGGCTTTTATGTTGCATAAGAGATCACATGAAATTTGGAAATTATCAGGTAAGGAAATAAACGAAAACAGAATAAATTGCTATCTGGATGCAGCCTCAGTGCCTCCTGCTACAACTAAGAGGGCCTAACACACTTTATGTTTGAGAAACATGACACCCGAAGTATCATAATGGGGTATCCCCACCCTGTACTTTAATTGGGTGAGTCCCCTCGGGTGGGTTCCCAGTGCTTTAATGCAGACCCTCCAAGTGTCTCTCTTTTCCAGAGACAGTCTCAGATTTACAGAAACTGTCCTGGTCTCTGATTTGATCCCAGAATGTCTCACTTTTCCTTAGAACATCCCTATTTTCATCAGCAAGATGTTGGAGGATACAGCAAGACGTCCTTATTTTCATTGGAGAAATGCTGGACAGTATGGAGTTGTGCCACCTCCGAGCCAAGGCAATAAGTAACTATATAACCTTTAGAAGACATTTGAAGACAGCCCTTTATAGGGAAAGTATATAGTGTTTAATGTTTTATGATGTTTTTATATATGTTGGAAACTGCCCAGAGTGGCAGGGGCAACCCAGTCAGATGGGTAGGGTTTATATTATTATTATTATTATTATTATTATTATTATTATTATTATTATTAAATGTTGTTGTTTAGCCATTTAGTCGTGTCCAACTCTTCATGACCCCATGGACCAGAGCACGCCAGGTACTCCTGTCTTCCACTGACTCCCGCAGTTTGGTCAAACTCATGCTGGTAGCTTCGAGAACACTGTCCACCCATCTCATCCTCTGTTGTCCCCTTCTCCTTGTGCCCTCAATCTTTCCCAACATCAGGGTCTTTTCCAGGGAGTCTTCTCTTCTCATGAGGTGGCCAAAGTACTGGAGCCTCAGCTTCATGATCTGTCCTTCCAGTGAGCACTCAGGGCTGAGTTCTTTAAGAATGGATAGGTTTGATCTCCTTGCAGTCCATGGGACTCTCAAGTGTCTCCTCCAGACCATAATTCAAAAGCATCAATTCTTCAGCGATCAGCCTTCTTTATGGTCCAGCTCTTGAATAGGACACGCCAATTTTCATTGGAGAAATGTTGGAGAGTATGCTAATGCTGTTCATTTCAGACCTATTCAGATAACCAAGCACTTCCTTTATCCTAGATTTCCTGAGATCCTCATCCACATAGAAGTACATTAAGGCAGGTTCTTTGCTTGTGGAGGATGAGGTAATATTTACACGACTGGTAGAAAAGAGAGAAGGTTTCATTGGCTCTGCTGCTGTTTACCAGGCTCATTGTTAGGGCAACATGTCACCCATGGAGACGGAAACAAACCCAAGCAGCACTTGGCAATAAAGACACATGTGTGCTGTATCAGGCTGCTTGGAAAATAGCTACAATATCACTTTCATTTGCAAGGCTGGTGCGGAATTTAGGAACAAAGGTGGCAATTTGCACCTGACCATCCAACGTTTTCCTGGCTCCCTGAGCTACGTCAGTCCATCCCGGTTTGGATTAGGGCTACTGATAGCAGCCTGCCATTGTCACATCATCCGGAAAGGTCAGTGATTGCTTGGGTCAGCAGGCATTTGTGGGTTGTCCTGCTACATTCTAATGCTGCATAGTTTTTCATTGAAATTTAAAATGGTTGCAACCAGTTCCGAGTTCTTGTGTCAAAAGAAAACTAGGATATATATTTTTCCCCCAAAAGAAAAATAAGCATGTAGAATGTTTTTTCAAGCCTAATTGCTAAGGGATGTGTGTTGAGCACGAATGCATGTAGGTTAGCCATTTCTATTGCTGGTATGCGGCCCCCAGAGGCTTCTCTAAGAGGGAACGTGGCCCTTGGAATGAAAAAGGTAGAGGAAGGAATTCTAGGGAATTCAATGTGAAGAACAGCTTGTTTTCCCCTCTCCATGCTCTCAGTTCCTGGGCATTTGCTGAGGAGTCAGATACTTCAACAGCATAAACAAGCTCAGTCTTTTATATATTGAACTCATGGCGCATTTCTTCCTTTCCCTTCTTTTCCCCTTCAGGTTTTCAGCAGAAATGTTTGTAACTGTGCTTCATGGTGGTAAGTGACCTTCCGGCCTTGAACCTTTGTTGTCTTGCAGCAGGTGTGAGGAACCTTTGTGTAGTTTGCAGAACTACACATCCCATCAGCCCCAGCAAGCACGGCCAATGGCCAGGGATGAGGGGAGTCAGCATCTTGAAATAGAATGGGAATCAGTGCAATTGTCTAAACACGGGGGGGGGGGGTGCACACATTTCCAGCACCTGAACCCAGTTAGCAACCCCACAAGCTGTATTTTCAGCTAAACTATGGTTTCCTTGCAATCTTCAAGGACACATTATATTAGTCTAACCTGGAGGTTACAAGCATGTGAATAACAGCTGTTTCCCTTGGTTTTATCCTTGCATGTGTTTTAAATTAATTATCGTTAGCTACTTTGGGAGATGTTTTACTGAAAGGTGGCATATAAATGGTTAAAATTATTATTTTTCCAAAAAATGAAATCAATTTTTGCATTTTGTTTTTACTTTGTAGAAAACAGGGCAGACATTTTTAACATTCACTGTGAAGTCCAGCGGCTCCTAGATGGCATCAAACGCCGCTGTGGCTGTGAGGACGAAGGTACAGTAGCTAAAAATCTTTGTGCACTTTGTATATTTGGGGGGAGAGTGTGTATCCATGCATTTAGATGTTTCAGTGGGTTACACTCACTGATAGTAAGCACCTTGATCCAGCAGAGACTTTGTCAAATCCTGGAGTGTGGAGGCTAATTGAGACAGCATTCAGTGCTCTGACACAGACATCCAGCCTGCTTGTGAGCATGTTTACTTTTCTGTTAAAGACTCCAAGGTATGTAGAAGCACATTCTTCAGAGAAGGCCTGACACAAGTTGAACACATGCAGAAAGCTCAAAATTTACGTTAGAAAAAAAACAGGGATAGCCTGTGAATGAATAACACTTGCCAGCTCTTGAATCATGTGTTTCAGATGATATAGAGTTAGCAGACGAGAGTGGCCAGGTGAAGAATTTACTCCAGAACAAGCAGTGCTCCGCAACTGAGCTTCTGGGGGAACGTGAGGCCTATGTGCTCCTGGGTGTTACAAGTAGGTCCCTTGCACCAAATCTCTAGACTCCCATGTGGACAGGTATGTCAGTACAATTGCACAATGTGCACCTAAAACCAAGAAAGTCTGAATCCAGTTCTCATGATAATTTATGCACACTGAAATCGGTACTATCTGTGCATGTAAATATAAAAGGTAAAGAACCCCTGGACGGTTAAGTCCAGTCAAAGGCAACTATGGGGTTGTGGCACTCATCTCGCTTTCAGGCCGAGGGAGCCGGCATTTGTCCACAGACAGCTTTCTGGGTCATGTGGCCAGCATGACTAAACTGCTTCTGGCACAACGGAACACCATGACAGAAACCAGAGCGCACGGAAACGCCATTTACCTTCCCGCCACAGCGGTACCTATTTATCTACTTGCACTGCTGTGCTTTTGAACTGCTAGGTTGGCAGGAGCTGGGACAGAGCTACAGGAGTTCACCCCGTTGCAGGGATTCGAACCGCCAACCTTCCCAAACCCAAGAGGCCCAGTGGTTTAGACTGCAAGTTTAGACATATCCTGTGCATGTACGGATATGTGCACAAATGCACAGTTTTGCCTGTAAGGTCTTCTACTGTGGGCCCTGAAACACTTTGCAAGAAGGTGAGCAGTTCCTTGATAGTCTTATTGCTTACAATTTTGCATTTGGGTCCACAAAGTGTAGCTACTTCTAGTGTTCTTTGCAGCCAATCTATGCCTGTCACTCAGAGGCAAGGCTAGGAGTATCTGTCTATTTCACCTCTGTGTCAATTTTGCATGCTTTCATTCCACCCCATTTTCCTATGTATCTATGATTTTATAAAGAAAAATCTGCCTGAAAAACCATATTTAAAACCATATTTAACAATGTACAGTATTTTATTAGAAAACATGTATTTCAGCATGTATGGGATCTCAATGCCCGTGTTTCTAAACCGATTTTATATACATTTTAAAACTCCTTTTGGTTAAAAAAATATATAACCAAGAACAGTATTGCAAAATTTGGAAAAATCTGGTGTTCTGATCTACACTTTAGTCCAAGAAAATCAAATCCGTTCATGTCGGAATTTCTGGAAATCAGTTTTTTCAGCCAGCCCTACTTGCAAGTGAGAACCCACTTAAAATGAGTTTTGCTTCTAATAGAATGTGCTTAGTTAGAACTACGATTCTGGCCACAGCTGTGATTGGCAGCTGTTCTGCCGTGTCTTTGCCAGCTAGCTCAACTCTTGCTCTTTATTCTGAGTGTTAAACAGGACATTCCATCCCTACCCCTAACCACACACTATAATTGTTCTTTTCCTTTGCCCTTTCCAGGAGGTGAAAGGCCTTCCAAGAGAATATTTACACCTCTGTTGAAAGATGAGTCAGTCATTAATGCTAAGTTCCTAGGTAGGTGGGTGAACTTGCCTCCATTTATCTATGCAATTTGAAAAGCATCTTCAAATGTCAGTTTGTTGTTGTTTAGTCGTTTAGTCGTGTCCAACTCTTCGTGACCCCATGGACCAGAGCACGCCAGGCACTCCTGTCTTCCACTGCCTCCCGCAGTTCGGTCAAACTCATGCTGGTAGCTTCGAGAACACTGTCCAACCATCTCGTCCTCTGTCATCCCCTTCTCCTTGTGCCCTCAATCTTTCCCAACATCAGGGTCTTTTCCAGGGAGTCTTCTCTTCCCATGCAAATGTCAGTAGTCAACCAGAATTGCCATCAGGGCCCAGGGACTGACAACTGTGTTCACTTGCCAGTGAAATAAGCTAAGCTTTGTCTGTCCCTGAGCCTAGTTGGCCCTGTCAAAGATGGATCAGTGCCTCTGGACAAGATTACACCTCCCAGGCCAAAGAGACATGCCCATTTTCAATGTAGGACAATAATTATTCAGAAATGTGGCTTGCCTCTTTAGAACTGGGAACTAGGTTTGTAAAAGGTCCAGCTATACACATGTCCCTTTTTAGATCTTCCACCTTCAGATGCAACCAAGAAGGGGTAAAGTGTTTTATGCCCCTTTGATTTCAGTGGAAAATAGGTGAGTGTAACTTTTATGTATACATTTTATACCGTTGTCGGAATAGCAGTGGTTTGGGAGCTTTCCATCACTGCTGTGTAGAAACTTCTGGTGGCATCACAGAGGGTGGTCTGTAGCATCATGAGGACCTTCAGCCACTGTCCCAGAGGGCACAAGACTGCTCCCTTAGTTAGATAATTGCTGGTCCTCTATCCCGCTTTTTCATTGCACCGTTGAATTGTTTTGGTGAATTATATATTTCTCCTACCTGAAGCTAAGCTAGAGAGCTGGCAAGAGCGCAAAGTCCCCTCTCCGAGAGTAAAATCCAGAAAGACCCACAAAAAAGCAACCTTGGATATCCCAGCTGCTGAAGGTGAGCTCATAATTATTAAAGAGAACTTCCAGTTTATTACTTTTTGTGAGTCTTGGTGGCTAACATAGATTTATAAAATTGTAGAGTTGGAATGGACTCAGGGGAGCCCCTAGTCCAACCCACTGCAATTCAGGAAAGATGGCATGTGTTAGATATGGAGAAGTGGAATTACATTTTTAGCCAAGTGAGATTAACAAGCACCTTCAGAATCCATAATCAACTTGGTTTACTTATTAGAACCCAGCTATAGCATATGAATTTCAAAACTAGCAACTCCTTCCCTGAGGACTGCCAGTCTTTTCATTGTCCAAGGGCAGTCAGGGAACAACGGCCAGGCACTGCAAGTTGCCTCAGGTGGACTGCTGGGTTGAGATATAAGATTAAAACATATTCAGTGAATAATGGGTTGCTTTCCCCCTAACATGGTCACAACCAGATTTAAAAGGGTTATGTGTACGTATCACCTCAATATCATTTAATGCTAGTTGAAGATTGAAGGTTGTTGTTGTTGTTTACCATCAAGCGGTGTGTAAATTTTATGAATTAATTAAATAAATAAATATTTAATGACCGTTCTCTGAATGTATGGTTTGTTTTACATACAGAGACCAAACTTAACCAAAATATCACATTATTGTCCATATTTGCATGAAGTATTTGCTTTATTTATTTATTTATTTATTTATTTTTAATTTTATTAATATTTTTATTAAGTATAAATTAGAAAACATACATATTCACAACAAAAGAAAATACAAAAGAAAAAGAAAATACATCTAACCAAGGGGGGGGGGAATTAGAGAATGTTTTGTCTCTTTTCATATTTACAGTTATTTATACCTCTATAAAATGCTATTCACAATAAGGCAGTGAAATGAAAGATAAGATATCAGAAAAAAGAAAAAAAAGAACAAAGAAAGAATAAAGAAGTAAAAGAAAAAGATCATAAGTGAAAAAATTTTTAAAAGTAGATAAGTACTCACAATACATAGCCGTTTCCCATCTATATTTATATTCAATTGTATAATTTCATCTTGTCCTTATCTACCTTAAATTTTTTTTTTTAAAGAAGACTTCCACTGTTTACCTCACACGTTTTTAATAATCCGTTCTTCAGAACCTCTGTTCTTCATATTTTCCTTTTGGATTTCCTTAATGTCTCACTTTGTATTTTTTATATTACGCACAAGATTATTCTAAACACAACCAGATTTTTGTAGTTGAGCCCTGGTTTTGTAAATAATCATTTAAGAACTCCCATTGCTTCATAACCATAGTTTTGGATTTTCTCCTTATTATATCCATCAGTTTTGCTAATTCCAGGTACTCGCAAAGTTTCCCCAGCCATTCTCTTTTTGTTGGGATGCTGTCTTCTTTCCAATAGCTAGCAATCAAAATTCTTGCCGCTGTTGTCGCGTATAGAAATAAGTTAGTTTTATCTTTTGGGATATCTTTATCTAGAATTCCTAATAGATATGCCTCTGCCTTTTTTGTGTGTGATGTCCTTATCAATTTTTTTATTTCGTCATGGATCATGTCCCAAAAGGTTTCAATCTTTGGGCAAGTCCACCATCTTGCTTTTACCATCTTGTCCACAGACGCATTGGTGCTTACATGATTATTGTCTCTTTTCACTGTAGGCTTAAGGAATCATTCGCCTCACAGCAGCAGAACAAGGACACCCATTGCTTCTCCAAAACAAAGCAGAAAATTATGATCTCTTGTTGGATCTGAAGTCGGAATTTCTTCCAGTTTGTGGAAATGTACCTGTTTATGTATGTTCCTGAGTGTCCCCTGCTCTGAGCTTAAGTCCGCATAACAAGGCAGGCCAGGATTCTGAAGCCTGCATTGTGATTTGCTGCCTAGGCACAAAACAGCCAATCAGGTGTGAGGTGGGTGTCGCCAAGGGCTGGCTGAAGTATATATAAATCAGATCCTATTCCCTGTTTCACTCAATCTGTTCCTGATGTCTCACTAAAGCCTTTAAGCTGAATCACTGCCTCTCACTTGAACCAAGGCTGGATCTAGACACATCAAAGAAGTGTTTCAGTTAAACACGTACATTTAAACAGGGAAATCTGGTAGGTAAAAACGGGACCCCACAGCACCATCTGGTGGCACAGTGTTATATTGCATATACAACACATATAAATCACTTTTTCTTTACCAATCTAGCTGAGTCCCCACATATACCGGTACCTTTTTCTGTTTCTTTGTGCAAATGTGAATTTTTAGGCACCTTACCCGACAATAAGGTGCCTTGAATGCTATAGGACTTACTGAATAAACAGGGATATAACATTGTACTCTAGATGTGCTGGATTGGACAGGGTTGGGGAACTTGTGATCCTTCAGATGTTAATTTTTGTCTCAATACGTACAAGTTTGACTAAGGTTAATTCAACAAAAGGCATTCTCCACTATGTTTCTCTCTCTTTGCCTCAACCGTTGTAGGAACAATTTTGTGAGTCAGCCAATGCTACAGTCATTCTGCACCAGAATTCCCCAAGGCTTATTTCTGAGAGTTGTTTCCAATCTTACTCACCAGTCCTAGAAATAGTAATAAAAAGAGATGGTGTTTTTGAGCACACTGGTGATATTTCACAGTGCAAGGGAAGCTGCTATACTAAGGATGGTGCAAGACTGTTAAGAAATGATGTGTGGAGATGTGAGAAACCAGGTCATGACCTTCTCCAAAGAACAGATTAATAAATAATATTTTTAGAAATAATACAACAAAATCCAAAACACAGTTCACCAATGAATAAATTCCTCTGTTCCATCCAGACTTTTTTTAGGTCAATCAGATGACTTTGAAACTAAATGGTTCTTGGCTAATGTTGACATTTTAAAAATTTTATTTTATGGTATTGCATTTATTTCCCACCAAGGTGGTACATGGTTCTCCCCTTCTCATTTAATTCCCCAGACAACCCATGAGGTTGGTTAGGTTGAGAAGCAATGACTGGCCCGAGGTGGCCCCAGTGAATTTCATGGCTGAGTAGGGATTCGAACCCTGGTCTTCCAGGTCCTAACTGCTACACCACTTTGGCTATATATATGCTAGCAGCATGGGAGTTGCAGGCTACTTTTTGACCCAAAGCAGTGTTGACTGTCAAGGGACTTTTAAAAATCTAAGTAGTTGGAGGAACCTTTGAATTTTAAGTTTTGATAATCTGCACTTCTGAAAATCAATGTGCTTCATCTCACTCTTGAAATGCCTTAGTGCGGGTTTTTGGGTGGGGTGTCTGTGTGCGTGTGTGTACACACACACACACACACACACACATATATACAGAGTGATAATTATACAGTGGTACCTCTAGTTATGAACTTAATTTGTTCCGGAGATCCGTTCTTAACCTGAAACTGTTCTTAACTAGAGGCGTGCTTTCACTAATGGGGCCTGTTGCTGCCGCTGCGCCACCGGCACACGATTTCCGTTCTCATCCTGAGACAAAGTTCTCAACTCGAGTCAACTCTTCCAGGTTAGCGGAGTTTGTAACCTGAAGCGTTTGTAACCTGAGGTGTTTGTAACTTGAGGTACCACTGTGTGTGTGTGTGTGTGTGTGTGTGTGTGTGTGTGTGTGTGTGTGTGTGTAATAGCCAGTCTGCTGTCTTGTGGGATATCTTCAGGAGAAGGAAAGGCTAACCCTACACAAGTCCAGAGTGGAGTTCCTAAGATGGTTGGATGGTACCTTGTATGTCTCCTTCCGGTAACTCCTGCAGCCAAGCTGGTGCCAAATGTATTGCTATCCTTTCCCTTGGACCACATCAGTGAGGCTGAGAGGGTGTGTCTTGTCGTCTGGGCAGTCCAGGACCTCCATATACACCGTCCAGGCTTGCACCCCAGGGAGGTCACTTCAGTGATGCTAACACAGCAGTTTGATTTCACCCCTGGAGGCACACTCTATTGTCTCTGAAGATGGATGACACCAACATTGGCTGCAAATAATATTTGACTGGCTGAATGTGGTAAGCACATGCATTACATGCAGAAGGTCCCAGTTTCAATTCCTAGCATCTAATGGTAGGACTGGGGGAAACTCCTTTCTAAAACCCTGGAGAGCAGCTGCCAGTCAGTGTAGGCAATCATGAGCTAAATGGACCAGCAATCTAACTTGGTGTATAGCAGCATCCTCTGGAGAATGGAGGTTAGATAACTAGTAGATTATAGAGGGTTGTTCATTGAAACCCCATCTCCATAATTATATGAAGCTCTGCCCAACTCCATCTGGGTTGATTCAGGACTGGCAACATTGCGTGTGCAATGGTTTTGTTTGCAATAATCAGAACTGGAAGTTTTGGTTTTCTCTCTCTCTTTTTAGTGAAAGTGAAAGTCTACGGGATATCAGGTTTGACATTCTGCAATTGCATTAATATCCTTCATCCATTTAGAATACCCAGTTTTGGAGGGAAGCACACACAAGCTTTTTCTTTCTGCCATGCTCTACTTAGCTGAAATTCTCCACCTGACTAATCCTAGGAGACATTGAGCATCAGATCCTAGGTTTATATTCGTATAGCACGCTGCATTGAAACAGTTCGGGGCTGTGTTGAAGATCAAAGTTGAGAGAGAAAGAGGCCCTCTTTTAAGAGGAAACTAGAAAACTCCAATGGATTTTCTCAAAGTTGAAGGTTTACAAGGTTAACTTCCGAGAGATCTGTTTCTCTTTGGAGTTGGGAGTGATCGAACAAATGCTGTCTGGGTAATTTCTAAGTAAATGGAGTGGAAAAACAGGTGTCAATCATTCTCTGCCTTTTTGTTATCAAGATAGGCTTCAGATCAGGACATTCCTCAACTGCTGTAATCAAGTGGTGTGCTTGTTGAAGTAGAAGAGAAGGTTTACAATAAATCATAGAATCAGTCCGGCTTTTTTCAGCTGGAATTCGCCGGAATTCAGTTCTGGCACCTCTCAGGTGAGTTCTATTGCTATTCTAAGAGAACCAGGGAGGCATTCATTGTGAGTTCCCGCACCTCTTTTTCTAGAAAAATATCACTGAATCAGAAAGTGTAAAGTTGGAAGGGACCCCAAGATCATCTGGTCCAAACTCCTGCAATGCAGGAATCACACCTAACGAATCCTCTGGTCTATCAAGACCTGCCAGAGAAAACTTTGTTCTTTTGCCAGTGTTTTAAGAGTAGGTGAATATGGAGTAGAGTTGCATTAATAAGAGAAGCTGCAGATCCCTCTCTCTTATTGTTATAAATTCTTCATGGTAGCCTAACTTTCCCCATTTTGTATGACAGCAGAGAAAGGAGAGGCATGTAAGTTGATTGTTATTTATTTCTAAATGTATAGGCCACCTTTTGGGGGTATAGCTCACTCCAAGTGGCTCACAATACCATTACAGAACATAAATGAGCAAGGAATGGTCATGGAAGTTATTGCTGATAGACATGGGCCTTAAGGGGCTATGCTGATGAATAATAATAATAATAATAATAATAATAATAATAATAATAATTAATAATAATAATTTATTTATATCCCGCCCTTCCCAGCTGAAGCCAGGCTCAGAGTGCCTAACAACAATAAAAGTAACACAGCATTCTAAAATCAATTCATTTTAAAATCAATTCAAAATCAAATTAATGGCAACCTTTGGGCTAGAGTTCTGTGAGGATTACCAAAGGAGGGGGTCAGACTGTGCCTTGGCCAAAGGCCTAGTGGAACAGCTCTGTCTTGCAGGCCCTGTGGAAAGATGTACTGTATATACAGTCACTGTCACAAAGGAACAATGGATGTATTGCTTAGATTGGGGTTGCATGAAACAATACTCTCTGACTTCCTTGGAACATTTTGTTCACCTGCACCCTCAAAAATAAATGCCACTTGACACCTCGGCATCTTCACACACAAATTCTATTGCAATTAGGCTGCTGGAAAGTTCAATTGGGGGTTGTTTAAACTCTGTAAATGTGCATTGCCATTTTCAATACTTTGATTTAGCTTCGGTGGAAACAAGTCTGTATCTTGTTCTGATCTGAGCAGATGGAGCAGGCACATGCAGACTTGATGAAGATAAGGCATTTTTTCCATGTGAAAGGTCTAGTATCCTCAGGTAAAGTAGTGAACTGTGCTCTCCCTTTGTTCCTTCACAAGAATGTGGTGTTTCTGTTTATAAGCGTTTCTTGGGAACGTACCAGACCATTTAATTTCAAAGGGGCCCATAGTGGGCAACAGCACAGAGCAGGTTAGGATATTATCCAGCAAAGGAGCCAGCTGACAAATAGTAAAACAAAAACACTTCTTTGCCAACTTTGAAGCCAGGTGACCATCACCTTGTTTGAACTTTTGCTCACTGCTCTGAATAGGAATTATTCATCCAAATGTGTCTGTGTGGTTCCTAGGTGTAAAACGATGTCCGTCTAAATCATTTCCACCATATTCACAAAGATTGCCCATTGGAGCAAAGCTCCCTAACCTTTCTGAGCCTGGGGTCACATCTGGAAATCTAAAAAAGAAACATTGTGGGGTCCCACAAATAGAGGGGAATCTGCTGATTTTGCACACATACAGCAGGAAAAATACCTGCACACACCCCAAAACAAAACACAGACCAAAAAAGGCACAAACCACCCACCCACTGAAAATAAGCCCCCAACCATAAATGTTTAAAAATAAAATATTGGGAGATGCTGAGAGGACTGGAATGCACCAAAATCTAAGTGTGCCACATTGGGAATCCCAGCACCAAAGCAACTTTTGCCATGTTGGGACTCAGCTATACAGCTGCAAATATAACATTTTAACAGTGCTTTAAGTGCATTGTACATATGTGACACTGGATTGCGCTGGTGAGCTAATGGCAAATTCCATATATATTAAAAAAAATAAAAAGCATTTTCACAGTGTTTTTTATATGTGTGTAGATTCAGCCGTGGTCTTGTTACCAAGGTGGAGACCTAACTGAAGAGAGTCCAGAAAAGATGTGTTCCCCAGGCTGACTGCATCAGCAACACATGCCATTTGGCTCTTATTAATATAATGGGTACGTTTTTGGTATTTTATATCAGTACCATGAAGCCTTCCCATGTCACATAAAAACAGTGACAAACAGATGCCCATTAAGGCACATCTATAAGAGCCCATTGTTACAGGAGAATGCATTACTTGAAGCCAGAATCTTAGTTGCAAACTTTCCATTCATTTGCAAATCAGAGTTTAGAGATGAATTCCCATAACAATTGGAAGAAGGGGAAGAGATGAGCTTGGGATGTGCCAGTTCAAACTTGCACTTTCTATTTTAAAAAAACACCACGCCAACAACTCCTACACATTGTGTAAAAGCACAGGAGGGGCGGGACAGGATGGAAAGCCAAGGATTTCAAATGTAAGCAATTGAAAAAGGAAAGCAGGATGGACTGGTTGGGCCATTTCCATAACAACCTAGTACGGAATGGCATTAAAGGCATTTGACTTAGGAGTTCCAAAAATGTAACTCCTGGTAGCCTTACAGACACTGTTAGTCATGGCTCTTGCTTTTGCTTCAGACTTGGTGCAGTGCCAAATGCTGCCTTCATTACAGACAGCGATAAAAGCAGAATTTGAAAGGTCTTGAATATATCCTCTTCACCACCTAATGGGGAATAAGCTCTTTGCGTAGAAAAGGGCAAGCTGTGTTCCTGCACATGATGCAGTTGCACTGATCACTATGGGTGGGGGTTAGACAGCTGAGATAGCTCAGTTGGTAAAGCATGAGACTCTCAATCTCAGAGTTGTGGGTTCAAGCCCCACACTGGGCAAAATTTTCCTGCATTGCTGCATGACTATTGTGGTCCCTTCCAACTCTACAAATTATGCGAGTCTGTGAAGCACCAGCAAGGTGAGTAGCCATTTGTAGCCTTTTCCATGAAGAACGGGGAGGCGAGAAAGGTGGGGTATACATGTAATAATAAATAAATCAAGACCCAGATAGGACAAGCAGGAGCTTTTTTGTAAAAAGTTATTTTTATTATCAAATTGTGATTGTACAGCATAAACCTCAGCAACCCCACCTCTGGTCTGCACCAGCAGGCTCACAGTTGGATTGCTGTAGGCGACATCGTATGAACAAAAATGCAACTTTTAAGAAACCTAGTGCAAGACAGCGCCTTTATATTATTGCTGTGACAAACGGGCGGTTTCTTTCATTCTATATACAAGGGAGTTTCCTTTCCTTCGGACAGTTGCACACTTTAAACAAGAAGGGGTTAGGTGTTATAAAAATAGATAGCATTCAAGTTGGCAACCCAAGGGTAAGCTTTTACAGTACAGTTCAGATCTACTTCGGATCTCCTACTTCTCTCTCTCAATTCTGATGAGATTCCTTCGCACTTGGTTGATATTGCACAGGCAAGCACCTTCAAGCAGCCGCTGCCAGAAGAGATAACCAAGCTGCAGTCTCCAGGGTGGAGAAACGAGTGGCACAGACGCTTTCAATAATACATGTTTTTGTCCCACCAGCCTGTAACGGAAGGACAGAAAAAAACACGTGTGAATTTTCCCTTTAGCTTTCTGCACACACACAATTCTCATGCCTCCCTGTTCTTCACCCAAACAAGCAAAAAGGCCTTATCAGATTCTGACACATTCCAGACAAACACAGTCACTCAAGGTGAGCAGCATGTTCTGGGAAGGGTGGGTGTGTGGAGCACACCAAGGGCCAGACAGAGAGGTTCAGAGGGCCACATTTGCCTCCCCACGCCAACCTGGGGTTCTCCACCCCTGGTACCAATGCTGGAAGAGAAAGATCATGGGGAATCCAAGGCTTCCATATGGCGCATACATGAGAGCTTTCCCCCTTCCTCCCACTCCTCCTATGGGGGGCACAGAATGAAGGCATCCAGAGCATGCAGTGCCTTGCCTGGCCCAGTCCCCCAAATGTATTGAGGGCAACTAGAAAAGTACGGTTTGAATGTCCTTAAAAATGGTATAGTTTCCTAGATTTCCATCAGTCCACCAACCAATGTCCTCTTTCTTGCTTTTCTATGATTATTTCCAAATCTGTACATTGCTGGTTAAAATGTAAAAGGAGGTCCTGCAGTCATTCATGAATCTAACTTGTGATTCATGTACCGCAAAGTGGAATTCCTGACCAGAGGGGACCTCCGGTGCCTTTCATAGATTTTTTTTTATTTATATTTTTATTTTGACAAATGCAATGCTACCTGTATAAATTCTAAAGTGCTACGTTACTTACTTCCAGGATACCGTCTGATGAACAGCTTGCGGAATTCGTCGTAGACCCAGATCAAGATGGCAAAAGGAACAGCAACAAACCAATACTGAAACCTAGAAAGCAAAGTATTAGGCATCAGATATTGCTTTTAAAATACAGCCAGTTCGTTTATTGAAACATCTCTGCCACAGCAATTGACATTGTGGCGTGGCTCTAGGATTTTGGACCCTTTTTGCGGTCATTATGTCCCTGGCATTGTGGTCAGTGCTTATGGCACCATGGTCATAAGATTAAAACTCTCACCATGACCAAAAACCATGCATAGGTCTTTCAAGGAGCCCAAGACTAGGGAGTGACTCAACACTTATTTAGGACTTTATTCAGCTGGCTTAGGCTTCCATCATATGGTCTCTGGAAGGGCATAACAGGGGCTATAGGAGACATCAGTTCACAAGGGCTATCACAGATCTCTTTCTGAGTTTAGAGTGAGAGCTCTGGCCTCCGAGGGAGACATCCAGGGTTGGGTCCTTCCTTCCCACCACCATGTCAAATTCCATAAGCCTCACGCCTATTGATGATGTCAGAACTCATGACTAGGGCCAAACCAGGGCATGCTGGGGCAGTTAAGCCTTCCAGGCTCCTTAATTTACCTCAAGTCCAAGGAGCAGTTAATCCACTTCAGGAGCTGGTACCCATTTATTTCCTTCCCCAAATAGGTGTGTGTGTTTTAGGGGCTTGCAAAAGAGGAGTGCAACAGTGTTCCTCTTCTCTCACTGCCACCCTGCCAGTGAGAGCCTAGCTGGGCAGTGGACAGAGCAAATATATTATTAGAACAAGAACACAGTAAGGTTGGTGTTCTTGTCCTAATAATACAGCCCCAAGATATCTCTCTCTCTCTCTCTCTCTCTCCCCCCCCCTCCCTCCCTCCCTCCCTCTCATACACACACACACACACACACACACACCCCTTGCTGGATCGAAAATGAACTCACCGGAGGGGTGCAAAGTTTAAGGCATAAACACTTCCAAGACCGTAGCAGAGAATTGCAGCGATTCCTATTTGGGAGAATATGCCAACCCAGATTACTTTGTTCCTATGAAGGGAAAAAATACATTCAGTGATTAAATGTTTTAGATGCTATGAACATGAACTGTCATTATTCATGACAATAGATTTTAACTTTTTGTCCTCACCTATGTCTATAATAGTACAGACTATCTTAATGCATAACTGCCATGTCAGATGTGGAGTGTGTGTCCTAGAAATGGGTGTACAAAGGAATAACCCAGGCCTTTGATGTGTGAAATTGAGTTGCCTGGTTTATCTTCTCTGATCACCCAGGTTTACAACCTTGCTACTGGATCTATTTTTCCATTGTGATATTTACACTTTAGCAACGACCAAAATCATTTTCTCTCCAACTTCTTCAGTTTAGGAAGCCAAATTGTTCGCCTTATTAGGTTCAGCTCAAACGTTTGTCTCTTCTGACTTTATCACTGTGAGGTCACTGAACAGGTATTGTGTACCCATAATGGGTTTCATCATGAGTTGCCTTCAGTTCTTATTGGCTTTGTAGCAATTTGTGTAGCGAACATGTTCTTGGAAGAAGAAAAATAAAACCTTCCCCCGACCCTAATTCTGCTGTTACGTTTTCTCAGTGTCAGACAAAATGAGCCAAAATGAGAGCATGTGTGTCTAAATAAATCAATTGAGACTTTAAAATAATTTACGTAGTGAAACCATTAGAGGTTGTTGGTCACAAAAAACATAAGGGGATGTATGTAGATGCATCTTATTCTCTCATTTACTTATCTATCCTAAATTCCAACTTCCTATTTCCAAAAGGTTAATCTGACCACTGGTTCTTTTTATCCGTAGCTCTACAGAATGGCTACCGCAAGAAGAGTACAGTGGTCAGTAGTGAAGGAAAGAGGTGGAGATTTGTTCCAAAGTCATCCTATCATCTGAGACTCCAGTTATACCTGAAAAGCCCTTGCTGGAAAATGGAGTTCCTTCGCGTCTTCCTGATGATCAGATCTGCCACTTGCTCAATAGTGATACTGACAAAGAAGGCCGTGTAGCCATGGTACTCCAAAATTTGCCGTTGGTCGAATGTCTGCAGAAGAACAATAAATTTGGGGTGGGTGGGGAGAGACATCTGTGTTAAGTAAGTGATAGATAATCTGTAAGCAAACAAGCTGAACACATCCCTCAAGCCATGCTTGATAGAAAAAGGCTTGACAGCCTTCCCTTTTTTTTCTTTGCAGTTCAGGCAGACAGCAAAACCAGGATGAGAGTCAAAAATTCTGCAGGTCTGCTAAATCTGCTTTAAAGCAGTTTTAACAAACATTATAAAGGTTGTTTTTTAAAAAATGAAAGAAAGAAAATAGCATGCAACACTAAGGCTATTTATGTATATACATTAGGAGGTGGCTCCATTTGCCCTATTGCAACAAAGTCACGTGTTCAGAACTGTGGGCCTAATTTTACAGAACTCCCTTCCAGCTGAAGTCAAACAGCTCTGCTGAACTTCCGGTGCCTACCGAATACATTTTGTTATTCCAGCAGACATTTTAACTGAAGTCTGGTTTTGGAATTTTAACTGACTTTCACTATTTTGCATTTTGGTTTTTCTGCACCACTTAGAGATTTTTGTATTTATGTGGTATATAAATGGTTTAAATTAAATTAGATAAAGAGTGTTTGGTGTCAGCTCCATGTTCTGGAGGGCTCTTGCACAAAACAACCCCCATGGCCTCATTCCCTTAGTGAATCTATCTCATCACTGGAGGAAGATGACCAGGGGGTTCTTGTCAGGGTACCTGTTGGGTAGTGTGAGTTCTTGGTGCATGCCTGTCAGGGGTTCAGAGACAGAGGCACAGGTGAGGGGGGAGACGGAGAGCGATGAGGAAGAATCCCAGGACAGTGAGGAAGAGGATGACAATGACTTGAGGTCTTCCATGAGTCTCTCAAGTGAATCGGAGGATTCCCAGGAGGGGGCGCCCCTAGTCAGGACAAGGGGGGTCACAGGGGGGACCTGCCAGGAGCAGGGAAGCAGCAGGGAAACCCCGAGTGGGAGTGGGAGATCGGGGCCGGCTTCCCAGCAGGAACGAAGTGAAGAGAGGGGAGTTCCCATTGTGACACACGGAGCGGAGCAGGAAAGAGACAGGGGAAGGAGATCGGGGCAGGACGTCCTGCCGGAAGAGGGGGAGAGTAGTACAGGGAGTAGTGTAAGTGTCAAGAGGAAGGTCAGGGGTAGCGAACGCGCGCCAAGTTCAAATGTGGAGGCGCGCGGAAATGGAGGAAGCCCGGAGGAGGAGCCTAGCCCCAAAGCACGAAGGAGGGGGGAACAGGCATCTGAGGAATCCGCTTCAGGAGACAGCAGGAGGGAAGGAACCCAGGGGGGCAGGAAGACCCTGCGGAAAAGGAAAGACAGGAAGAGGTGGTCTAGCACAAGCCTCTTAAGCTGGTGTAGAGGCGGGACCGACTCAGAGGGGACTTCAAACGTCTAGGCTAAAAGACGCGGGGCTGCACGCCTCGGTTGTGGAACTAATAATGAACTGCAATAAACATCCTTGTATATAAGAAGAGCTTGGCGTTGGTCTTTTGTGAGCTGAGACCTGAGGCAGCCTCTGACAATGCCCAACTATGGTGACCCTTGGTGTCAGTCCTGCTAAGTTCTTAACTGATGTCTTCAGTGAAGTTGCCTTACCCATTCCTGTCCATAGCTGTCTTCCAAGTCATTTATAAATGGATCTTCCCAGCTGGTTCGGATGTGGAGCAGTGTGTGAGGTAGCCAGCCCTGCTGAGCATAAACTGTGAAGTAGGTCAGAAAGGCCCCAATGGTCTGCAACAGTCCTATAAGAAAAGACGATGTTTTGAGGGGGGAGTGGAGTTTGTAGGAGATAAAAAAGTTGACAAAAACTAATGGCTGAATGCATATCACAATAGCTTTCCTGGCTCTCTGTTAACAAAATTATGGATTTGCTCCAAGATCATATCAGAGATCAGCCATAAACCAATTCAAAACCACTCCCCGTTTACCACTTTTGCAAATATGCCCATCGTACCAATCTGCAAGTAGGAGTATGTGACAAGCTCCTGGTTGACCAGCCTATCCTTTTTCTTGTGTCGTGGCTTCCTTTTCATGATATCACTTTCTGCTTTTTCATATGCCAGTGAGACAGATGGGATCTGTAGGAGAGAGAGGGGAAAGTCCCAATCAGTATCCTGTAAGATTCTAGAATTCATGTTTTTCGCTTTTGTTTTTGATTACTGAATATTGCACAAAAAAAGCAATTCATGCTGCAAGGAGAATCTAACAATCAAATAAGGAACACTTTGGTTAGGATTAAGGAACACTTCTGGTAAGCCTTCAGTTTCCTTCCCCAAAGCAAAGAGAGCAGGAAAGGCAACCCTCTTGTTTTGCAAAATGCAAATGAAGCTGCAGTACAAACTGAACCCTGTAAATATTTGTTCTCCAGATGTTAAGGACTCACAATGTCTGTGCCAAGGTCAATAAAAAGGATGGTGATGGTGCCAATGGGCAGTGGGATGCTGGCCATGATGTAAATCAGGAAAGGACAGAGCTCCGCAATGTTCTTGGTCAAGGTGTAGGCGATGGTTTTCTTCAGATTGTCAAAAATCAAACGACCTGTAGGAGAGAAAGGGGAATAAGTCTGTCATGTTTTGGTAAATGTGGCGTGCAGTGCTGCAAAATATACTAAAGGAAACAAGATATGCAGAGCTTCTTAATTTATCTGCTCCTACTATAAAATATGGATTATCAAGAACATAGTGCTGGAGTGCTCTGCTGCAAAAGCCTTTCGTAGGGCTGCCATTTCCTTTTCCCTGGCATCAGTTACAGAAAATGAGCAGGCTTTAAGATTAAATTAAACACTTAATGATTTATTGGCATTGGTAAAATAAGTTTTCCATTTGAAAGGAGCCACAACAATAGTGAAGATTAGGTGGACTTCAGTTGTGGACACCTTGAGACACCAGTTCCACATATTGATAGTGGTGAAGAGCTGACAGGAATACGGGAATGCTATGAAAAGTGGTCCAGTCTTGCAACAGCTTTCCAACGATCTGAACATTTCTGGGATTGAACATTGCAGTATGAGCTGGGATAGGCTGAGAGGGTATGGGAACCAGAGGGGAACAGAGAACAAGTCTCATGTGTTGTGTAAAGACTGGTGTGAGGCTGCCTCTGTTTATGTTTGTATGCATAATCCTCTCCAGATTTGCAAAAACTGTCCCCAAGAGCATCCAAATTCTGCCGATCACCTGTGCGTTCATGTGATTCACCTCTCCCCAAACATATGCTGCTTGACTTTTAAGGCTGTTTGTCAGAGCCACAGGCCTCATCTTACCTTCCTCCACTCCAGTAACGATAGAAGCAAAATTGTCATCCAGCAAAACCATGTCAGCTGCATTCTTCGCTGCGTCAGAGCCAGCAATGCCCATAGCAATTCCTATGTCAGCTTTCTTCAGAGCTGGGGAATCGTTGACACCATCTCCAGTCACGGCAACCACTGCGTCCTTGAGAACATAGGAACCACAGGAGGTTATAGAAACTATGCCCACAGCCCTGTCCTTGCTTGACTTCTGCTATGTTGAACTTCCTAAATACAGTGTCGAGGTCTGTGTACAGTTACTCTGAACAATAATGTTGCTCTTTCAAAAACAACTTGATGGAAGGATCTGGGTGGGCAGCTCAGAAGGCACAGCCATTCCAGCGACTGAGCAAAAATATAAATACTAGTTGCACAAGCGTCCCTCTGACCTTGCCTTGTAAAGTTCTCTTATTCCTGCCTGTGTTGCTTCCAGGAATGAAGCCAGACGTCAATTCCTGTTCTGTCTTTTGTGAGAAATAGTGCCATTTCTTGTTGCAATTTGGTTGTGGATATTTGTACAGGGCAAAATTTCAACTGCCCAGACATCCAGAGCACAACCAATATATTCAGATAATGAAGGCTTATTTACTTGCTTACATTATGCAGTCAAGACATGATTTGCAGCATTGGGAATTTCAGATAACCAAGAATTCAGATACTACAAAATTTGTAGCATCAAGGGATCCCCTTCCCTTCAGCTCTTTTAATGCCAATCTGTTACTGTGGCATTTTGCTTCTTGCTAGCATAGATTGGATTTATGCAGAAAGCTAAATATGCTGATTGGCCAAATCCATATCTGCTCGGTGAGATTTATGCAACCAAGCGTCCTTATTAGGAAAGGTCAGAGCGTCTAAGTGTAAGGGAATTTAGAGTATCGTGAGCTGAATTAAGCAGAGAGAAAACCCGGAAAACCTGATTAAGGCAAATGCTGGGGATCTTGTTCTCGGGGGACTTAGTGCATTGAGACTCGTTATAAATAATACTGTGCCTAAGAGCTTATAGGCTCTGGTAACTAAATATAGAGCATGCATACAGCACACTTCCTTTTTTCTACTGTTCATCCTTTAGAGAGCTAAATATTACTTTGGATGGGGATGTTAATGAACAGTAAAATGGAGAAAAAATATTTGTGCCTTTTAAATATAGGACTTTGTTTGTTTCCATGCAGGATTGAAATTAGGGAGCTGTATTTTCTAATTTTTTGTTGTTATATATGTTTTCCACTGAGAAGTGTTCCAGGGGAAGATCATGCGGATGCAACCTTTTGGTACCAAAAGTACATCTTCTGTTCTTGCCAGAGTCACTCACCTGCCTTTGGCAGCCCTCCACGATAATTAGTTTCTGCTGGGGTGAAGTTCGGGCAAAGACTATCTCTGAGTGGTTGCGCAGGATGTCGTCCAGCTGTTCTGAAGTCATGTCTTTCAGCTCCATTCCATTAACTACAGCAGCTCTGGCATCGCTGCAAAAACCAGAGGCAATCTCAATTAAAGCTGCTGCAACACCGAGTTCAAAAATGGCATGCGTACATATCTTACTAAATCTAAACTGGTGTGTTAGGGAACAGTGAAAAGCTCATTTATTCAAGTTAGAACACAGCATAGGAAGGAAACCTCACTCCTGAAAAATGAGGTACAGTAGATGGCCACTGACTGGTCTGGGAGCATTCAAATGGGATAAGTGGATAGATTGTTCAAAGTCTGGGATGGGGAACCTTTTTCAGCCTGAGGGCCACTTTCCCTTCTAGGCAACATCTCAGGGACCACTTGCTAGTGGTGGGTGGGGCCAGAGTCAAAAGTGGGTGGAGCAGCAAATGTCAAGTTTACATTTGTATGGTAGGCTAACTTCTACATCTTCACACATCCTTCTCTGCCCTCCATCCAAGCAAGAGGCATTACCAAACACATCCCAGACAGGCAAAGACACTCAATGGATGTGCAAAGCAAGGCAGATGAGAGGCCTGGTCCAGGGAGAGGGGGGGTGGCTGAGAAGGGTGTGGTGTGTGGGTCTGGTCCTGAGGACCACATAGAGAGGCTTGAATGGCTGTGTTTGACCCTTAGGTCTGAGGCTCCCCACCCCTGTTGTGAGTTATACCATCAACTGTGCATTAAAAACAGAGTAGCATGAGAACATGGGGAAAGCCTGCTGGATCAAGAATGTGACCTATCCTGTTCATCATCCTTTTCTCACAGAGGTGAACCAGATGCCTGTGGGGAACTCTCAAGCAGGACATGAGCACAAGAGCACCTCTCCCCTTCTGTGGTTTCCAGAAACTGGTATTCAGAAGCATTATTGGCTCCAGCTGTGGAGGCGGGGCATGGCCATGGTGACTAGCAGTCATCAATAGCCTTTCCAATTCTCTTTTAAAGCCATTCAAATTGGCGAACACCACGACCATAGGAACATAGTGTAGCGTATTAAGACAGAGAGGGTCTATGCCATCCTTACCTTCTGTTCACCTGCTCCACGGGAATTTTGAGGCGCTGGGCAATGTCTTCCACCGTCTCGCTGTTGGCTGAAATGATGCCTACGCTTTTGGCAATGGCTTTGGCTGTGATTGGATGATCACCAGTGACCATGATCACCTGGAAAAAAAATGGCCAAATAAGCAGGATTCATTATCAGAAGGAGCCGAATTAAAGATACGGCTTGTAGCATCTGCCATGGTTCTTTAACCACTCCAAAAAACTGTCTGCATTGCAGGGGGTTGGACTAGATGACCCTTAGAATCCCTTCCAGCTTTACAATTCTATGGCCAGCAATGAAGAGATAGAAACATCTGAATGAAATATACCCACTGCTTGTACATAAAGATTTTGCATGGACATTCTCTTTCAGAAATGTATGCATAGATCTGCAAATGTGTGTTGACATTGCATACATCCTTACTTTCTTTTTAACTTACTATACATTTGGGTGGGGCCTTTTTTAGCATGAACTCACCAGAACTCAGTTCTGGCACCTCTCAGGTGGGTGCCATTGCCATTATAAGAGAACAAGGGGGCAGTTCATGGCAAGTTCCAGCACCTGAGTCTATTTCTAGAAAAATAGCACTGCGTTTGGGGGGAAGTGCCACAGACATTTTGGCAATCCAGCATTTCCAACGGTGCTGGTTTTTGGAAAGCCTACCTTGATCCCTGCACTCCGACATTTGATGACAGCGTCTGGCACAGTGGATCGAGGGGGGTCAATCATTGACAAGAGCCCCACAAAGCAAAGATTGGAAGTGGGGAAGTTCATGGAGTCAGTGTCAAATGGATAGGTGTCTGGAAATTCCTCCTCTGGCAGGTACAAGTGACAGAAGCCTAGAGTTGAAAATAATAACAGCAACAACAAAATAATTAAGCAGAGGAAGCGAGAGGGGAGAAAGGACAAACCATCCTATGATAACTAAAGGATTTTATTAGGTCTAATTGACCATCAAATGATCATTATCCTGTCTCTTTAAGTAGATTGCCAGCTGTCAAAACAATGGGAGTTACTGATGAGAAAGCAAGTTAAACCATTGTGTTTCCTAACTAGATATCTTATTTACTGTGTCATGGATAGTAGCTAACACAGCAATGCATGCAAGGAATGCATATGAAAAAACCATTAATTAGAATTTATAGTAGGAAGATGTATAGGTTCTAAGCTTTTACTTTAGGAAGCAATCACTAGGAGGACAAATAGCAGGTTTAGTACCTACCCTATGGGTAGACAAACTAAGGACGGGGGGGCCCAATCGCCTTCTAAATCCAGCCCATGGACGGTCTGGGAATCAGCATGTTTTTACATGACTAGAATGTGTCCTTTTATTTAAAATGCATCTTTGGGTTATTTGTGGGGCATAGGAATTCATTCATTTTTTCCCCTTCAAAATATAGTCTGGTCCCCCACAAGGTCTGAGGGACAGTGGACTGGCCCCCTGCTGAAAGTTTGCTGACCTATCAAACTCAAGGAAATGCACTAAGCCAGCCACAGTTTATGTATCACTTCCCATGCTCATTTAGCACATTCTCATAATTAAATGCCACCAAGCAAAATGGCCAAAGAGTTGGGGTTGCTCCTCTAGTATCACTGTAGTTCCACCCCCACCCCCAGGATTGTTGCACTTAACGCTTTGCCTGCTGCATTGCTCTCTGCACATGTTGTTTTGCAAGTGTTCGGCTCACCTAGGACTCTCTCTCCCATGCCTCCCAGCGCCATGTAAGCCGTCTGGAACGCCTCTTTTCTCTCTGCATCCAAGGGCTCCTCTTTTCCATTAATCATGATGGTGCTGCACTTCTCCAGAATCCTTTCGGGTGCCCCTTTCATCACCAGCAGGAAGCGTTTATCATTGGGGTCCTCAGTCTCGTGGATGGAAAGCTGGAACGCAATGCAAATGCAAACGCTGAAACAAGTGCCTGGATCTAATCCTGCCTTTTGAACTTAATGCTCCCAGAGGAAGAATGGCATGGGGGGGGGGTATTGTACTGATCTGATAACCGAAGGTGGCCGTCAGATATAATTCTAGGCTGTGTTCACATGGCAATTTATTCTGTTTCCCTGACATTTCCCTTACTGGTAATCTCTGCTGTAAACTTGAGCTTTCACACAACATAAAAGCCACTTCCAGAAAAACAGTGGAATATAGCACTGGTTTCGTGCTCAACTCCATGTTATTTCCAAATCTATTTTTTTCTGGAAGCATTTAACATGGCAATGAGTGCTCACTTGAGCTATATTCTGCTATATTTCTTGAAATGCCTTTATGTCGCCAAAGCCCAAACATAATGCAGAAATTAACAGTTAAGGAAACGTCGGGAAAATGAAATAAACTCCCATATGAATTTAGCCCTAGTCTATGACAGCCTTCCTATGGTAAATATTCTATCAAGCTTTAAACTACAGTTGTTTAAATATGGCCCATCTTCACAATGTTGAATATGTTCAAGGCAGTTGTTATTTCTGCTGTGTAGAACAGCAATCACAAAAAACCACTTCAGAAGAACAAGAGATTTTGTGCTGATTAGCCTCTGGGATTGCCACTGGAGTTTACATCTTATTTTTGAACATACACTGAATTATGTGAAATTAATAACACACTTCTACTTGAGTATTGCAGCAATGTTTTTTTCCACCACAGACACAAATTCATCAGACTGGTCCTTCCAGTTTTCAGGTTTTATCTTGATAGCTCATGGGGCACAACATTTTCTCTTAACAGCTCTTAAGAGATCAGTCTCTTCTCAGACATACAACTTACCTGGAACTTGTTAGTAGAATTAAAGGGAATCTCAGTCACTTTCCTATTTCTTTTCCGGATGTCCATTATATTGCCCATAACAACTTCGGAAAACTTCAGCAGAGCTGTTTCTGAGGCGTCTCCAACCACGATTCTCTGGGGGACATTTTTGAAAATTCAGTTCAGCAAAAGTGTTGCTCAGTGTCATTCAACTAACCAATGGACATTACTTAGGTCACTTCATGCTATATAGCTTGCTCCTCTGATTGCATCCTGTAGCATTATAGCAAAGTACTATCATATTTACATAAGAACAACAATAATTGGGCAAGATTGCTATAATCATCCTTCTCCTCAGGGACTCATGCATGCAAATAAAAGCTGAGATTCTTGAGACTCTCAGAAGTAGAGTTGAGTTAGTTGCTGTAATCCATGAGAGATCTTTAGCTGTAATGTATTCTAAATTGTCTCCTAATATTGTTGTTATAGTAGAGAAATTTCTAATCTTTTTTATGGATCTTCTTGAGCAATATGACACTAAGTATTTATTTTCTTGGTTTAAAACTGATTGTTGTCAGTAAAATAAAATAACTTGATCGTTGAGTTCTCATGCTCTACCTGTAGATTAATTATCTCAACAAATGCATTGTATGAGAATTCTCATCTCAGACCTTTGACTGGAGTATGAACCGATTTTAAAATAGAGAAAATGATTTTGATCCAGCTGTTTACATTACTGAAATCACACATAAAGAATGAGAGCGCAATGTGGTATGTTTGCTTGGACCAGAGGCCTGTTTATTGCTTGTAAATTAAACGCCTGAAAGTTCTTGTGCTAGCCTGTTTTCTCCCAATAGTGGTGTCACCATACCTATTTCTGTCACTTTAGAAGGAAACAGGACAGGGTAGATGCTATACGCAACTTACAATAAAACATCCGTTTCCAGATGAAAACCCTGGAAACCCATCAGATAATCCTCTTAAGAAAGCAGCTCTCATTGAATTAGTAAATACCTTCATGATAGGTTCACTGTCCTGTCCTGGTCTGAATTCTGCCCGATTGCAAAGGGCTACAATCCTTGACAACGCCGTCCATGTGCCAGATGTTTGGTCAAAAGTCTGGGCTGGAAAGAAAGTGGTAAAAATTATATAACGTTTCAGCAGACAGTTGCCCCACATTCTAAAATAGGAAGCAATCATGTTGTTAGTCCTCCCATTCCAAAGCCTCTTTGACTGATTATTTACTTGTTTGATTTTCACTGGTGTCAGCGGAGAAGATCTCATTGTCAAACCAAAGGTGGGCAACTGTCATCCTGTTCTGCGTAAGGGTCCCGGTCTTGTCAGAGCAGATGACGGAGGTAGAGCCCAGTGTCTCAACAGCTTCCAGGTTCTTTACCAGACAATTCTTCTTGGCCATTCTCTTCGCAGTTAGGGACAAAGCTACCTAAAAATGTGGGAGAAAGCACAGCACTTTAATAGCTGAAAGAAATAAAAGCAGAGAAGCATTTCATACAGCTCCATACAAAGGATGATGGTAGGCTTCTCTTCCTGCTAATCCCACCTGTACACATTTTATTCTTGATCACACCCATGCACATATCAGTTCAGCAATGCTGGCATCTGCAGAAGTACTCAACATGGATGAGAAGATCAGAACCTGACATTTTATTTAGCAAGTGTTGATCTGCTTTTATGTCAACAGGAAGGGTCTAATGTAATGCCCTGCTTATGGGCTTGCCATGGACACCTGGCTGGCCACTATAAGAACAGAATACTAGGCCAGATGGTCCTCATTCAACAGAGTTTTCTTACACTCTTATCATGTAACAACAGTACATGAATAACACTACTAGATGATTTCCTCACATGTACAGTATCCATCAGAAAAATATAACGCAAAAGTACATAATATAACACAAAGGAGCATAAGTAGAGCCTGCTGGATCAGGCCAACGGCCCATCTAATCCAGCATCCTAGTAAGATTCATCAGTAGCAGATCCAGAAAAAAAGGCATTCACAAGCATTTTGAATGGATATTAAAATAGAGACAAAACAAAGAAATGCAACAAATTAGCCGAAAACATTAAGAGGTGATGAATATATAACCAAAGAGACTCAGAAGAAGTTGTGGGTTTAGACAATGGAGGTGTTTTTATCCAGGAGCCCAAAGCCACTCTCCACCATTGTTCCAATAGATAGTGCCAGCCTTGCCCATTAATAATTATGCACCCCTTTTTAATAATGTGTTGGAGAGGTAGAGGTCCTATGCACCCCGTTTTCAGTAGCATGTACTGTCATGAATTGTTATGCATGAGTACAAAGATACTGGTGGCTGTTGTGAGCCAGTACTTACAGTGACTGTGGCTAGCAGCCCCTCGGGCACATTGGCCACAATAATGCCAATGAGGAAGATGATGGCCTTCATGACAGTGTACTTCATGGAGACGGAAATGATGAAGAAAACCACCCCTATGGATATAGCGACAGCAGCCACAATATGGACAAAGTGCTCTATCTCGATAGCAATAGGCGTCTTCTCATTCCCAACACCAGAAGCCAGCGAAGCAATGCGTCCAATGATGGTGTTGTCACCTGTGTTGATGACCATGCCAGTAGCAGTTCCTAAGGAGAAAGTAAAATATTGATTATCAACAAACAAAATAATTTTTATTCATTTGAACACCAATGCCATTTAAAAAAAACAAAAAAAATTAATTGTGCCCCCAAACTTTCCAATTAATACTCTTGACTCTTTTTGATAATCCCCTCTTCTACTCTCCTTGATGTCTTAGTTCAATCAAAAAATATAGCTTTTTTTTCTTTGGGGAGGTCAAATGCTGCTTGAATTTCTGCCTAAAGAAGACAATGTGGGCATGTGTGTGTCATATTTTAAAATAAAATCATTGACTTGAATCCAAATTTTCTTTCCATGAACAGTTTACATTATTGGAGCAGGGCTTTCCAACCTCACCATTCCCTCTGCTGGGAATTTCCATTAGGAGACCAGGAGATGATTGGTGTAGGATATGGTTGTGGGGGTTGCATTGCAGGTGTGAATGGATAAGCCAATGTTAGGACCCAAGACAATGTTTTTACGTTGTACACCAGCTCCACATAACTGCATAGTTGGAGGGTGATGTTAGCATGTTGTTGTTAGTATTACTAGGGCACAATCAATGTACACACTTCTTTCCAGGATGTCAACCTGAACTTGCTCCCTTCCCCAGAGATCTTACAATCCAAAATTCAACAAATGGGGAGACAAGAAAGGAAAGTCAAGAAAATAGTCTTAACAGAGTATGCCCATGCTTTGCATTATACACAATTAGGCTTAGTTTCAGAAGGTGATGAGGACTAAATGGTGGAATATCAGAAGGAATGAGAAAATATTGATGTTAACTCCTGCTGAAGTAGCTTTTACATAGGCACAAAATATGTGGCATTTGGATGGAATGTCTCCACTGGGGGAGCCACTTAAATACGTACCTTCCAAGCAGGTTGTGGAATAGAAAGCAATGTTTTTGGTCTCCAGTGGGTTTTCATGAGTGTATTCACAGGAGCGAGATTGTGGCTCTGACTCTCCAGTGAGGGAAGAATTATCCACCTGTGGATCAGTCACAAACATTCACATTATCACATTATTATTGTAGTAATAATAGTGGTAGTGCCCATGGCTATCATCACTGCAAAGGCAACAGGGACACTTATGATGACTGAATCACCAATAGAGTTCAACTGCAACAAGTCACTTAAAGACTTACAGGTGAGGAAGCTGTGACCCTCCAGATGCTGGACTAATACTCCCATACTGGCTGATCGGAGTCAGAGTCCAACAACATCAGGAGGACCACGTATTTCTCATCCCTATCCCTTTGTTCTGGGACTCATGCAGGATCTCATCCATGATACCTTTTTCTCATGAGGATGAATATGCAAATTATTAATTCATAGACAATTTGCATCCATAAAGAACAGACTGATTTTAGGTTTATTGACCTGGTAAGAAATCCCAGATGTGTTTGCCACACATCCTATTCGCCTAACATTGTTAGATTAAGGTATATTCACTTCAAAATGGGGATAATAGCAAGCATATAATACATTACTCATTATGCAGCAGCTTTTCCCGCTGCCCCCCTTTAATTTATTCTGCCTGGGATTGACTGACTGACACGTAAAGAAAACCAAACTTTAAGTAAATGATCCTGCTGCTATCACAATCACTGCAAGATTGCATAAACAACCCATACAACGAGCAGTGATTATTGCCATAATTTTAATGATCAAGCTCTTTGTGGGAGGACAATTTCTCATACAAATTCAAAAGGAGTGTCTAATTTTAGACTCTTTTTCACTTAGCTGTTGAGTTATCCTTTCTTTGAACATGCCTCTTCATGTCCCTGGTCTGTAGAAAGAGGCTGGGTTTTCTCTTTCTCTTTTCTTTGGCTCAAAACTGGGTTTTGTTTTGTTCCTACCTTACAGCCCTGACTGGTGATGATCCGGATGTCAGCTGGTATCCTGTCTCCACCTTTGATTTCCACAATGTCGCCCACCACCAGTTCTTCTGCCGAAATGTCTTTTTTCTCTGCATCTCTGAGGACAAGGGCTCGCTGGTAATAAAAAAAACAAAATGAAACAGATAAAGTCAGGTGGAACTCTTAGACTGATTATTGTACACATGCAATTGCTGGAATATATTCAGTGGTCTGAGCTACTTGGAGATCTGCATATGGTAACTATGAGCAGGATTCACTTAAACAATTGTGCTCGCAGGAGCCAGCACATAGACTCCTCCAAATGCAATGGGGCTTCTCTCCCCACTTTGCCCCCCAAAAAACAGTTGGGGGGGGTCTGGAGAACGTCCAGAGCAGTCCACAAGAGAAGGAGAGGGGAGATCCTTTCATTAGGCAACTTGAAATATTTGTGCTGACAACACAAGAGGAAGACTGTGATGCTGGCTTCCAGCCTATATGTCCTACTTTACATTGAAGTCTTCTGCATAGAAGACTATCCAGAAGACATTCCCTATTTGATGGACTTTCTGATCTAAGTCAGGTTTGAAGATTAAAAGAAGGAAGAGTGGAGTTTGAAGGTGCCCTTTGACATTTAGCACCTGAACAGCAGCAGGCTGAGCAGGCGCACAGTCAAAGTCTTCGCCGCTATGCTGGTATTGTTTTCCCATTAAAATTATGGTAATACTTTCAATTTTTTCATCTATATGCATTTTATGGAAACCTGTGTTCTCTTTTGTCCCCCTTGTTGGGGTCATGCATTTCCTCTCTTTAAGCAATGTGGCCACCTTAATTCTACCATTTTGTCTGCACATTGGTATGGTCTTTAATATGGTGGCAAATACTCTTTACAATGAGTACCTGGTTTTTAAATACATTGATATTCTGAGCACTACCGAAGACTCACCTGTGGGATCATTTTACCAAAGCTGGCCATGATGTTTGTGCTTTTAGCTTCTTGATAATAAGCAAACATCCAGTGAGGACAACCACCAGTGCAAGGACCACTCCGAGGTAGAGCTGAATGGTGAAAAGATGTTTCAAGTAAGCTTAAAAACTACAACACTTTTACCATTTCCCACTTGGTGCAAAATAATTTTGTAACTGCACTCAAGAAACTGTGTGAATGAACTTGCTTAAACAGCAAGGAGAAGAGCAATACCTAGCATATTATCAGCGAAATGCCTCAGAGATTTATAGGCAAGACGTATTGCACAAACATACGGAGGAAACATATAGCTGAATGACAACACGTGGTCTTCAGGGTCTGCACCAGGTCATTCAATTCTGACCAAGATACATTGGTTTAGAAATTGTGCTAAAACCATACAATTGCCAAAGCTTATATAAGAATTTCAGACAGTTATTTAATCAGGAATGTGAAAGTGTGGTTTTTCTTAATTTTTGCAATGGTTTTCCATGGGGGGGGGCGGTCCCCTACCATTGGGTGGAATGAGGCTTAAGTGTCATGGAAGGGTGGTAAATTGTTGATTTATTATGGTTTGTTCAGTTTTTTGCATTTATGCCCCACATTTTTTTCAAGGTGGCATATACCATGGCTCTCTCTTTCTCCTCATTTAATCTCCACAGCAACCCTGTGAGATAGATTAGACTGAGAGGAAGTAATTGGGCCAAGGTCACCTTCAGGTCAGCTTCATGGCTGAGTCAGCATTTGAACCAGGGTCTCCCAGGCCTGAGTGGCCTTGAGTACCATGCTCCTTGACTTGGGGGTAAAGAGAACCATGGGTGACACCCATGAGAATCACATAAAGCACAATAAACCTGCAATAATACTTACATTGTTAAATGCCCCGGCATCATGATGAAGATACTGAATCCCGAAGGCAATCCAGCAGAGTATAGCTCCAATCCACAAGAGGATGGAAAACCCTCCTACCATCTGCTTGAGAAACTTGATGATTTCAGGAGTAGATTTAGGAGGAGTAAGTGCATTGGGGCCATCTCGGGCCAGAACCTCTGCAGCTCTTGAGCTTGGAAGACCCTGTAGGAGAGACAAAGCGCATAGTTGGGATTAGGGATGGAAGAGGATCTTCTGCTCTGCCAACTTTTTGCAGCAGATCTGACACTCCCAAACATGCTTGTCGTTGGAAACACATTACACACTTCCCCAGGTTTTGCAATGCAGGAAAGGGAGCAAAGAAATGTGTGTTTTGCATTAAAAGTGTGTATAAAATGCAACATTTTTTCAGAAAATAAAAAGCATCTGTGTACAAATTCTGACAAAACACAGACTCTTTGTGCCTTCATTAACACACACACACACAAAGGTACTAAATGGGCATTTGAATGAGTGCCAGGAAAACTGAAAAGGGGTGGCATTATTAGGTCATTCAGTCCATTCTTAGTTTAAATTAGAAATCCTGAAAGAGCACAGCCTATGTTCAAAAGTGAATTTTAAGTCCCATAATTTATTTTTTAAAAAACTTGACAAAATGGTTGATGCACCCAGCAGTTTAAATGTTAAAGGCTACTTAAATTTATGCCCTGCTCCATCCTGAAGACTAAGACCAGATAACTACAGCTGATGGTTACAATATACCCCATAAAGCATGCAACTGCGCAAATACTATTGGTGCAAACACACCAATACTCTTCCCAGAAATAGCACAAATACTGTTTCCAGCACCATGCTTGAATTAAGTGAATTATAATGCTTGCTGCCTACTTATATGTGGGTGTGTTGTTGATGGCTGCCTCTTGCCCATATTCACTTACTTTAGTGATGCTTGTGCCATATTTATCTTCTAGTTCTTCAATGCTGAGTTTGTGATCATCCTAAAGCAGCAAAAAAAAAAAAGAGATTAACAAGCTTTGCTTTTTTAAAGAACAGCACGGGGCTTTCAGAAATTGTATGCCACAGTCAACACTTTATTTGCACATTGGAACATTCAGACACTGGGTGCAGCTAAAGCTTTTTGAAACCCAGCAAATAATGTTTTTCTATTCTTATTAAAACTCTTCAGCTTAATATGAAATTCTGCTGTGATTTTTGCCCATGCAGCAACCTTTGAGTTCATCTTGAGTTTTGCTTTAGGAAAAATTCAGTGGAAGCTAGCTGTACTGCTCGCTCAATATGAGCTGGCTGATAACTTGTCACTCTGTCTGTTCAGATGTATCAAGAAAAGAAGATCCGTAGTTAATCTGTGATTGATTGATTGATTGATTGATTGATTTTTTAATACATACTTGAAAACCTATGTGGAGCTGTTGGCTTAAAGAGGCATTGCATTTGAGGACAATGGCCCCATTTGCATCTTTAAGATTTAACGCCATCCAGTTAGTTGTGGAATGTAAGGAAAACCATTGGATTAGCAAATCTGAAAGGATATCTTTTTATCTAAGCATCTCAAACAGCTGATTGTACAATCTTTTCTTGGAAAGCACTGAACGAGAGCCACAGTTGTTATTGTTTTTTGTAGGCAGCTAGCTGAGTGCTCCTCCATTCTTTTTGTACAACAATGTGTCACAGGGATTAAGGAAGACTTCTTAATAAAGCTAGCTATGACTTAACTGTGGGGCAAGTCATTGCTCAGTGCTTCAGCCCATCATTCAGATCGCATGACTAATCCCTAAGATATGCAGAGATGAAATTAGAAAGCTGCCTTACACTGGTTCATCTAGTTCAGCACTGTCTGCACGGACTAGCAGGGGTTCTCCTGGGTTTCAAGCAAGGGGACATTCCTAGCCCTACCTGGAGATGCTGGGAATTCAGCTTAGGGTCTTTTGCATGCAAAGCACATGCTCCACCACTGAGCTATGGCCCTTCCCCAAATGGCTTTTAGCATGACTTGGGGAAAACCAATGCTTACAAATCACAGCAGATGCTGCACTAGAGGTACATCATACCCACATCCCGCTCCCCACTGCAGTGAAACTTACAGCATCACATGGATTGACACAAGCACAATGAAAATGTTCCACACAGGTATATACTTGTAATGGAAGAACTTTGACACTGGTGCATCAGGAGCTAAGGGTCAGGGTAAGAATCATGTATGTTGTAACTCAGTTTGACATGGCATTCACCCTCTTCCAATAAATAAGAGGTTCAAAGCATTAGTATGAAAAGTCAGGAGAGCTGAAACCAAGAACTGACATCTCTTCCGACTTGCTTCACTTTTCAAGCAAATGGTATTGGCCTTCTGATTAAATCTTGGGTGTAGCTTAACAAGACGGGACTTGGCATGAAGGAAGAAGAAAAGCAGAGATTCCACTGGTAATTTCTCCATAGCAGAAGGAAGAGGAGGGATTGCACAGCTTTTTCAGAGACAAACAAGACAGTTCCTTGACTGACTGACTAACCTGTTACATCTATTTGCATTTACATAACTCCATGATATTGTACTGAGAGGGCCACTGTGCCCTTTCCTGATATGCAGATCTAACATGCATGTTGTCTGGGCAGGAAGGGGCTTTTGGCTGTTCTAGCTGAGTGGCCCATTCCTTGTCATACTGATTCCTTTTTCCCTGGGCCACTGTTCTTCTCCTTTTCAACGTAGCTTCAGAGCAAGGGAGTGGATCCCTAAAACTCCAGGATCCTCCAGCTGTCTGGAGGTGGCAGCTTAATAAAAGAAGGGTAATGACCCACATTTGCCTACCTAATTGAAATGCAATTAGTCAGTGTTCATAAAATCAGTGTTGAAAGATTCAATGCACTACGGGAACACTGCTGGTAGAGCAATACAAAGCAGTGTGCCTTTGTTGGCCATTGGAGCATGTATTATACAAAGGTAATTAAACAATTTCCCATTCAAGACTGAAAGATCTGCACTACAATCTGTCCCAATTTCCCCAAGAAAACTATTGATTAGGGCTTTGGTTTCAGCCTATCGGCTCTGTCCCAGGACAGCTTAACAAGGAAGTATGGAGCAGCCTGAAGCCACTTACCAAGTCCAACTCTTTTTTCAGGTCCTCGGTGTTCTTCTTTTTCTTATTCCCTTTCAAATCTTTGTACTTTTCATCTCCTTTGTCTGCTTTTTCCAAATCCTTTTCTCCACTGATCTCAATAGAGTAGATATCAAGCTTTTTCTGAAATGTAAATGAGCAGAGATGGGTTGGGTTAGCATTATGGGTTTGTCATAAGGGGGCAGCAGAAATACCCAACAGACAGGGAGCAGGGGAAGAGGTACAATTCTACTCCAGTGTTTCAACCTCCCTTCTGATTTAACATGGAGCATTTATAAAATAATTCTGGAATGTGCAGTTAAGCTGAAACTTTTCACTGCCAGCCTTTTTATTATCTGCCTTGCTGATATGCACAAGTGAACATGTGATGAAACATAGTGCATGCACTCAAATGAGCCCCATTGGGTGCATCAATATGATCTTTGGTGCTATGTTTTATCAATGCACACATCAGTAAGCTGGGGGGGGGTGGAGAAAAAGTAAGAACAAAGGTTATGAAATAAAAGCTGTGGCAAGCCATGCATATGTCCAGAAATCAAAATAGAATTGTGGTACATTCCTATGGCATTGGTGCCTCTCTGAAGAAAAGACCAAGGTAATTTGGCTCCTTTATATCCAGAGAGTGTTTGGACCAACATGTTTTTAATAATCTCTTTTAAAAAAATCAACTTTTCAGATTGTTGCTTTCTCACTGATATTCTCATTAGTTCCCAGTAAGCTAACCATCACTGTCACATGTCTTCCTCCCTCTCAAATAAACACGTGCACAACCTTACAAATATTCTGCAGAGCCTGAAATAAGAAATGGTCCGAATTGAAGAAGAAGTCATCTATATTAGAATTGAACTTATTCCACAAAGTCAATAAGCAATGCTTAATAATTTGGATATGTTTAGCCATAAATAATGAGCGACATGAGATTTTAAAATTATCATAATGCTGACCAGTATTTCTCAGTAAGAAATTCAGAGTCAGATTCCAGAGGGGATGCTTTGTTTAGTTTTAAAGTAGAAAATGTCTATGACCAACAGTGTAGACATTATTAAATATGATAGTTTGGGGGGGGGTCACCAATGTGGTGCCCCTTCACCTACAGATGCCTTCCCTGGCACCCACAAGCTTCCCTTCTTTGTCTGAAATCAGTCTTGAAAGAGGCATGTATTGGTAGCCAATAGAATAGGCTGCAATGTGTGTGCATTGCCCACAACATTGTTGTTTCAAATCACAAATCTTGGCTACTTCTTAGTATTACCTCTTCCAGATAACTCCTGACTGAGCCTTTGACCCAACCCTTCTTGTCAATCTACACAAGCTATTGGTAGTTGCCCCACCCATTCTATTCTGCAATGGACATTGCCCCACCCATTCCAATTAACTTGGATGTATAGATATGCCATTGTTCTCTGTTACCTCTTTTCCAATAGCTTGCCCTGCTCCAAAGACTGGCTTCCTGTTTTCATCTCAGCTCATCAACTTTTATATACATAGCTTTCCAGATCATAATTGACCCATAAACTGCATGCTGTTCTGTAGAATAGCCAGCTTATTGGCTGACCCCATTCCTTAGCAGATTCTTTGAGGATTACATTACTGAGTTTGTAAGGCATAGTCATACCTGGTGATTGAGGATCAGGTCATAGCTTGCTTATTGGCACAGAGCTGAGCTCAGAACATGTGTGCACTTCAATGTCTTCAGATAACTTGGTTAACATACTTTTAGTAACAATATTAAAATATAAATCGAATTGGTTTTTGTTTTCCCAAACCTATGTGTCTATCAGCTAGACTTGTCCAGATTGCTTTATAAACTTAGGGCCCACTCATACCTTAGCTTATTGTGCTTTGTGAGCCCTTCCTTCAATTCCCCCTCATCCAAGTGGCATTCTTTTCCAACTACTGGTGGCCCATACTTTTGCCTCCTCTTAATTCCAGAGATTCTCTATGCTTTGAGAACTGAATACGAGAGCTACAAAATTTGCATGGGGAATCTCCAGATCTAGGGAGGAGGAAGTGTGGGGTAGAAGTAGTTGGAGGAGAATGCAGCATGGGTGAAGGGAAATTTAAGCAGACACAAGGAGTTCACAATCCACATTAAACTGAGGTATGAAAAGGCTCTAATACTCAGGATTCTCTACCAAATTGGAACTAAAATGACAGCAAGAATTACACAAGCAATTCGATTTATGCAAGTAAAATTATTCTGTTTGGGTTTTTTTGGCATTCCAGAAACCAGCAAAAACATCGGTATCTGTTTATCCTTAACTGCCATCCTATTTCCATCATTTGAAAGTAATTTTCTGGCGCTGCTCCTTCCCTGCAGTTTGACTCTCATCTATTTCTGTTGCTTTCTGACTCTTTCCATGTTGCCTGTGGAATAAAGTTTGCAGACTTGCTGATCTTGGATAGCACCAGTTCTATGTTCTACAGCTCCTGGTATACTGTGGGTGCCATTTTGATATTTAGTTAGCAGAGGATAGATCAGGTTTCCTCAAACTCGGCCTCCAAATGTTCTTGGCCTACAACTCCCATGATCCCTAGCTAGCAGGACCAGTGGTCAGGGATGATGGGAATTGTAGTCTCAAAACATCTGGAGGGTCGAGACTGAGGAAGTCTGGGATAGATATCAACAACCTTGTGCACTGTGGGATATTTCCCACTACAATGGTACCTCGGGTTACATACACTTCAGTTTACAGGTGCTTCAGGTTACAGACTCCGCTAACCCAGAAATATTACCTCATGTTAAGAACTTTGCTTCAGGATGAGAACAGAAATTGCACAGCAGTGGCACAGCAGCAGCAGGAGGCCCCATTAGCTAAAGTGGGGCTTCAGGTTAAGAACAGTTTCAGGTTAAGAACAGACCTCTGGAACGAATTAAGTTATTAACCCAAGGTACCACTGTATTAAGGTGGGCTCTCTCTTTTTTTTTGCAATTGATCAACTCAGCTGAACGGCCCTTTAAACCCTATTTGGTATTTTAATCTCTGGAATAATTCATGAGGATTCTTTCAACTTGACACCTCATTCACATTTCTGATAGTTTGATTGTTGCTGGGGGAAACAAATCAGTTCAAGCACTCTTGGTTTTGGAATGCGACATGCAGCAGAATCGTATAGATTTACTCAGAAGTAAGTCCTAGTGAGCTCAGGAAAAGGACCAAAGCTCCACGTCTGGACATGTGCTTTCCAGATCCCAGGGCCAATCCTTAACCCCTCCAGTTAAAAGAACCAGGTGATGTGAAATACATCTGTCTTGGAGAGCCACTTGCCAGTCAGAATACAAAATACTGGGCAAGCAGGTGAACAGCTTGAGAACACCAGATTTTGTAGGGTTTCTGGTGCTAAACTGGTATCAGCCTTTGATAGAAATTCACTAAGAATCCTGTGTATGTGTAGTAAATTACAAATACACACAAACCTGTTCCTCTCCTCCCATCCAATTATAAAGGTTAAAGTTCTACACAAAGATGCCAGAAGAATTTAATCTCTTACATCTCCATATGAAAGAACTTTTCCGTTTGCCACAGAACTAAGACTGCAAGACTCACGTCTACTCAGAAGTAAGGCCTATTGAAAACCCAGGTAGGTGGGATTAGGATTGCAGCCTAAGGGTTGCCTCCAATGCTAGTTCTCCTCAAAATAGACTCACTGAAGTTAATGAGCCTATTAATTTCAATGAGTGAGTGGAACTCAGTTGGATACATCCCTGACCTTAATCAAGAAATCGTCTTCTCTTCTTAAAAATTTCCCAAAGTACTGGGAAAGAAGAGGACAGGTATATTTCAATTATTAGAAGCCAACTGCTCCCAGAACTGAAGAGAAACCAGCTATGGAATATCTGCTGTCTTTATCGCTTATTTACTCACCTTCCCCATGGTAGACTTCCTCTTTCTTTGACCTAGTGGAGCAATGGATGTCTCTCAGCCAAATAAATGTACCAAGTGAAGGCTCTTGGGTGAAAAAGTCAAGAGCCAATGAGCTCTGAGAGGGAGTAGTACTGGAACACAAGCTCACAGGGCTTGCAGCCTCCAGGAGAGTTAATGTTAGCTGGCTTCTTGTCCACACTTAAGCATCCTCTAGGCAGGACAGGCTCACCTTCCAGAGCCCTGTGGGAAGAGACTGCTGCCTGCTGGCCCTTATGAATGTTGCCAAGCCACACCTCTTTAGCTGTCTGAGGCCAGCCCATTCTCTGCTTCATCAAATGGTAGGTGGAAAAATACCTCAGTAATGGGCATATGAGTTCCAGGTCAGGGCTTCTAATTACGCTTTGGCAATACTTTTTCCTCCACGAGGAAGCAAGGGCAACTTAGCATCTTTTGATCTACTCATGAGCTTCCTTCAAGATATCACTTTGACTCCCTGCTTTGTTCTAAAGGAAATCAATCCCCACACTTCATTGCCTTCCTTTCCAGATGTGCTGGGACTACAAGGAGAGAGGGGAGATGGCTTAAAGTAATTTGTGGACTGTCATAGGTCTGGCAACACCTAGTTGGGCTCATCTGCATCATTGTAATTCAAGATACTTAGAAAATGCTAGGATTTTTTTTGCAGCCCTTAAATCTTAAGAATGCAAGCCACAAGATTTTACAAGAGCAAACAATCACAAGGCAGAGTTATATATTTTTTCAGGGTTGATGTTGTAGTATTCACCAGCTCTCTAAGAGGAATGGAACCTGCTCGGGGGGGGGGGAGAGATTTATTACTTCTTTTAAAACTGAGTGATGTTTATCAGCAAACCAGGAAAGATCAGTTTCCTAAAGTCTAAGACATTTATGCTAAGGCAAGAGAAATCAAGTGAAAGTGTAATGAATGTTTTGTTCACAACAGGGCAATCAGTGGGAAAGAAGAGTCTAGCAGATTTCCTTATTTCTTATTTCAGTGTATACCTACTGGGATTATAGAACAAAAAATGCTGTTTGTTGTGTGAATTGGGGCTCCTTTGCATTTTATCAATCTGTTGCTGATTAGTTGCATTGGGTAGCCCCAAGTTTTACGACAGAGGGAGAAAAAATATGTCTCTGTCCATTATTTCCAAATTCAGAACTTTATAAACCTCATTCACAGGGGTAGCCAACATGGTGCCCTTCAGATGTCAGACTACAATTCTGATCATTCCTGACCAT